TTTATTTGGTTGTGTTGTGAGCATTTGCAGTGCGTTTCTTTATTTGTTAGCGTTGTGAGAATTTGCAGCACCTGCTGTCAAAATGATGAAGATGTTTTCTTGATTTGCTGGTGCTTTTTCTATTTGTATGTGTTTTCTGAAGTTGCAGCGCGCTGAGCTCTCTCGGCCACCGTAGGTTTAAACTCTTATGGTTTAAAATGCATGATTTCAGCGCGATAAACATGATAATCAGAACCAAAACGGATGTTTTTTTTTAGCAGATACCAGCTGTAATGGCACAGCTCTATTCTGGAAAAGGGGGAAGAGAGCAGCAGCTCATTTGCATTTAAAGAGGCATGCCCGAAAAACAGCCTGTTTCTGCTTCCTCTTAAAATAGGCATTTTCAAAATGATATAATAAATGATCTGTGGAGTATTTTGAGCTGAAACTTCACAGACACATTCTAGGGGAAACCAGAGACTTATATTACATATTGTAAAAAGGGGCATAATATGTCTCCTTTAACAATTTAACAATGAATTTTCATTAATGAGATGCATGGACCTTTTCATTGTTGTATCATTCCTTTTATTAGCTGATAACATTGTAGTGCAGTAATTAAGTGTCACCACTAAGTTAATGTTAGATTGTTTGAAAAGTATTTCTTAAAAAAAATAACATGCTTTGGGTATTTGGGATAAACGCTTCTAAACAAACTGCAGAAGCCCATTTTTGTTCTCAATCTAGTTTCTTCCAAAATATTCGCTTGATTAAAGGGTGAGGTGATCTCAGAGACGCATGACAAACCGTTACGGTGATGATTTAAGACATTACTTGCGCTGACATGTCTGAGTATTCCTCATAAATGTAACATCATTCAAACTGAATGTTGAAGTCATTTCAGTTTCAAGGAAGGTATTTTGATATCTTGCTATTCCAGCTTTGTCATATGAGAAACCACACTGCCATAACTTAAATGTAGACCAACAGACTATGTTTAAAGCAAATTTTAACTGAAATATTGAGCTGTGTTCTCAGGACTAGAGTCAAATTTTTATTGGGGGTATCTAAATTCATTCAAAACAATGGTTTGATAGCCTTATATGTATGTTACCTTGTGTACTTTTGACTGTTTCATAAGTTGTTTTATTTTTTAATTAATGTTTTATGTTTTTCCATTGTGACAACTTACCCCTTACAGTGTGGAAAGACGTCTATATGTGAGATGAAATTGATGTAGAAAAAAATAAATAAAATTGTTAAATTATCAACACTTGTATTCCAGAGGAAACTTTTTTTTTTTTCATTGAGAACCTTTCGGTATGTGTAAATAAACCCATTCCTGAGAAATGTGTAAAAAGTGTGACAGTAAGCCCCGGTCTCCCCTAAAGCATCGTGGTCTTTATAACGTAACATAAATAACGTAAATGTTATTTGACATCTGAGGATTTTGGCACTGTGCCTTAAAAAACTTCATTAAGTTACCTCTCCGGCTAATTTAACGCGTTTTAATAGCTCTACAAAGTTGATAAACCAGAGTTCACAGAGACGCCCTCATTACATAAACAGAGCTTTGTTGATCTCTGCACTCATCCGTCGTAATTGTACGGTTTTGGGGAGACTGATCATATTCCCTGAAGCAAAATGATGAATGAAGACAGCAGCAGTAAAGGAGTTAACGCTGACAGGAAGTTCAAGGAGTCCGTGTCCGCGGGGGGCAAGTCAATACTCCTCTCACACTCGCGCTCACTTACTTTCAAATCACATGTAGTCAAACTCACTTCACTCCTTCTCAGTTCTCCACTAGCAATTTCCTAGCATTTTATATGAATACATTTCCTATACAGTCTAAATGTAATGTGAGTATGGATAACGGAGACAAAGAAACCAAAGTGAAGTTGTTCTATTCTTAATTTTACGGTTGTTGTTGTTTTTTAACGCTAGCGAGAGTCCGGAGTGAGTGACGCGTGACTGTTACTCATATATGGGACTGTGTTCGCACGAGCAGTGAATCCAGTGAGGATGACACTTCATTCTCAGCGGCGAGACTCTCGAGAAAGTTGGAAGCTGTACACTGGAGCATCCAGCGTTGCTTAGTACATTACAATACATGAAGCCAAGCCTCCAGACGCGTTGTTTAGTCAAAGCAAGCAGGAATACTCCCTGATGCGCACGAGCTGGGAAAACTTGATCCTTTTAATCAAAGTGGGATATTAGGATTGGGGACGGAGTGAGTACATTGGCTGCGTTACTTTTGATGTCTCCGATCAGCACAGCTGTAAAGGTATGTGTCACAGCTTGTCAACTATTTCAGACTTGTCAATTAGATTTTCTCACGGTCAGAGATACTTATCTAGTTTTAATAAATAATATTTCTAAGCGTCTAACAACTGGCACGTAGATCGATGCAGTTAATTCAACAAAGAGATTGATATATCACAGTAATGGTGTATTCATATGTGCACGTTAAAGGGGTCATATGATGTTTTTTTTAAAGATCATTATTTTGTGTATTTGGTGTAACAGAATATGTTGACATGCTTTAATGTTCAAAAAACACGTCATTTTTCAAATCCTGTACATTATTGTAGGTCCTCTATGTCCCGCCTCTCTCAAACGCTTCCTTTTCTACAAGTCCCTCCTTCCGACAAGCACAGTCTGCTCTGATTGGCCAGCTGACCCAGTGCATTGTGATTGGCCGAATACCGCAAGCACTTGTCGGAAATGTAACGGCCCTTACCATAATCGCGAGCTTCATCTTTCAAAATAAATGTAAAGACAGAGCCCGAAAGGGGAACAGAGTTGCGTGACAGACACAGTGATGAAGCTGGTATGTGTTTGTGATGTGTCCTCGCGCTCTCTCTCTCTCTCTCACACACACACACACGATGCGCAAAACTCCGCATTTGAACAGTCAATAGCAAATACTTAAACCAATAACAAAACTGTAGCTGATATCAGCTTGTAACACTCCAAAGAGAAAGGAAAACTTGAAATGACCCCTTTATGTACATATGACCCCTTTAAGACTTGTTTGGGTGTCTCTCATCATCATCATCATCATCATCATCATGTCTTGGACCTGTAAAATCATTCTTCTTTAGTACAAAAAAAATCCTCCTTTTGTTTAGAAATACTTATTTAAATTTGTTTACTCACTCCAGATTAATTTGTCATACAGTTCCTAATTATGTTTTCATAAAAGATGCATTATGCTTTAATTTCTCTATAGCCTGCAGGGGAAAAAATGGCTTAAATCAAGATGGTTAGCTGGTCTTAATTGGTCTCCCAGGCTAGTTAAGGTGATCTGTTGTCTGGTTTAAGAGGGATTTTTTGGTGCTTTTAGCTAGTTGGACCAGCGAAACCAGCTAAAAACACTTGATTGTGAGACCAAACCAGATAAGATCAGCAAACCAGTTTAAGATGGATTACGTTTTTGTTTTTTTTGCAGGGTTCTATACTGTACACCTTGTTACTGGTTTAAGCTGGTTTTCCAGCCTGGCAAGTGCCCAAAACCCCACTAAAACCATCACAACAGACCGGCTAACCACCTTAGGCTGATTTGAGATGTTTTTTCCCCCTAGCAGGGTATAGACTAATTTCTTAAGATATGTGTATTACCTCAATCGTAGCTCACAGGCAGCAGTGGAAAACCCTTCACCGTGGGATTGCTGTCAGCATCAGATCTTTTGTCAGACATTTAAAGTCCAGGCTTTCTCAACCGCTCTTACAGCCCCCTCTTGCTCAACAAACACTATTTTCTTTAGCAGCTAGAATGCTGACTATTCGGGGTGGACAAATAAAACTTCCCAATGAATCCCGTCTGGTCTCAATTTACTCACTCGTTAGTTCAGCCGGGAATACAAACTCATTGAAAAGATGTCAGTTGTTACATGTGGGAAGCTGTATGAGCAAATATTGCCTGCGTTAAGCCCAAAATATGTCAGTTTCTATTCAAAAAGAAATTCAGCTCCAATGAAATCATGTGATTGATTGGACAAAAACGTATATAATGCATCTCAGCTATTCTGAATTTCATTATAGTGCTGTTGTTTTGTGAGGTTATGTTGATGTGCATTATGACCTAAACACACACCACACAGTTTGTCTGTCAGTTCGTCTGTCAGTAGATCTGTGGAGTAATGTTTATTTTCCTTTTAAACACGCAAGACACGTGTGTTCTCGACCGGCTTCAAGGTCTACATTTTCTTAAAAATGTCAGCACACATGGATTTGAGCTCTGAAAACTCTCCACAAATGACACTTTTTCCAGCTTATGTTATTTTGAAAATTGCAGCATATCTTAGGGCAAAACAATATCTTAAATATCGCCCATTTGGGTCTTTAGGGAGGAAAAGGGTATTGTTTGGTCATTTTCATCATATCAAAGAGAAGAATAGGCTTCAGGATTGGTCATGGAATCTGAACTGAGAGGCAGGAAGTCAGCCAAACCCTCCCTCTGAATGTTTGGACCTTTGAATGTGAAGGTTAACATGCAAAGCTCCGTTTGCTTTGAAAACCAACATCCCCTTTTCACCATCCACTTATTCACTTGAAAAACTGTCCTTGCTAATGCCATCCTGCTGCTTAGTTTACCATGAATTTAGGAGACAAACCCCCTCCTCCTAAGAGCTCAGAGGGAATCCGCCAAATCCCCATTTCCTCCCACTGCACCCCAGCTACAAGAATTTGTGCTGATGAGCTTCCCAGCCCCATGCTCCATGTCCCTTATGGAGAGATGCAGTACAACCTGTATCTGAGGTGCAAAGCGCAGCTTGAATTCTGTGTATTGTCTTTCATAGTGTCAGTATTTTTGTTGCAAATGCTGAGCTTTAACACCCAAGTCTACTTCGGTTTTTACTTATATGCCACACTTTTAAAATAAAAGTTATTTATTTGGCATCTATGGTTAATAAACCTTTAACATCCATAGAACCTTTCCATTACGCTAAAGGTTATTTGTAGTGGAAAAAGGTTCTTTAAATGATTAAATTGTTCTTCACATTCAGAAAATATTATTCTTTTAAGAGCTGTTCACTGAAAGGTTCTTTGGAGAACAGTTTTCAAACTGTGCATACTTTTTAGGCTCAGCTTGCATGTGTGCATTAAATATGTTTGCACTAATTAGTTAGAATTAGCTAGTACATCTACTCTGAGTCTGTTTCACAGTCGGTAAAGAAATGGAGGAGTTGGAACAACAAATAAAATCTACTGAAGGCTATGACAACAATAGGCACTAGGGCTGCACGATAAATCGAAATGGAATCGAGATCGCTGCGATTGTCATGCGTATCTTTCAGTGAAGCACTGTTCTGTGATCAGCAGTAAATCTCCATCCAAAGGCCAGAGGGCGCTCTCGCTCTGAAACTCCAAATACGCCTCGCAGAAGAAACCCAGAAAATGCCTATAGCGGTAGCTGAATAAACAGAAGATTCAACTGCTTTCATTGATTCAACGTAACTAATAAACACATGACTACGGCAATATACGGTTTATCTGAGTTCTTATTATTATAATTTCATTAAAATAAAGTATATTTATAATGCAATGCCTTTATCACTGCTTAAATACTATGAAATATGCTGCGTGCCTTATTCTGTGTAAGAAGCCACATCATCTCACAGAAAGATTTATTTCAAACACTGGACTGACGTTATGAAGTGAGTTTGGAGTAAAAATTTTATTAAATGTGGTATTTTCAAGTGCTTTCAGATGGAGCAGTATTTACTTCACAGAGCTGTAGTTCACTGAGAAGCTATGCAAACAGCTGGCATTATCGCAAACGATTTCTTCAATTTCATAATCGATGAAGCGATTTTTTTGCGTAACTTGTCAGTGAACTACGGCTATGTGTAGTAAATGCTGCTCCATCTGAAAGCATGTGATGATGATTTCCTGCTGATTACAGAACCGGCTTTACTAACAAAATGCGCATGACAATTGCATTCGATTAATCGTGCAGCCCTAATAGGCACTCACATAAACGAGTTACCCATAACTCTAGTTTTAATGAGTACAACAAAATTTTTGTTGCTCATAACATGTGGAGAGAAATAGTGCAGTCACTAGAAAAGGATTAAACTTTCTTGTGTGCATGAGTTGAGCGCTTGTGTTCGCTTACACTATCAAATGGAGAATATTTTAAATGCCTATGCATTCAGCTGCACATGTACTTTGTGCTAAGCATAAAATATTAAGCACTTAAGCATTGTAATTATGCTATGAAGACATTCTATAGAGTGTTGCAGCCGTGAGGTCAAAAGCTGGAAGACTAATTCGCAATGGGTTGCGTCAAGATTTTCCTGTGGATTTTTATAATGGGTTTTCCAGTTTGTGATTAAAACAAGGTTTGTGGTAAATATAAATTGATGATATTTGGACATTTTGTTGTTGAATGTGCACTGCATACATTCTTATGGTAACTTAATAAAAAACAAAATAAAACCACGCTGCTTAAATTTTTTTTTTCAGTTTTCAGTATGGGTTTGTCTAATTCACGTTGCAGAGTAAAATGCCCAAATATCGTCAATTTATATTTGCCACAGACCTTGTTTTACTCATAAATTTAAAACCCCCATTTAAAAAATCGAGGGAAGCCATGGCAAATTAGTCTTCGAGCAAATTAATTTTGAGATTTAATTTTCATCTCGAAGGCAAATGTTCTCAGATATTCCCAGATAAGAGCATCTGCCCGGCAGATTTCGAGGTTTTGATGGAGGTAGTAATGCAAACACAGACAGAATCCACCCCACTCCGACCTCTGAAGCCCCCAGAATGAGCGCTAGAGCAGTCCCTCAGCAGCCAAGAGCTTTACACCCATCTCCCTCAAACAGCGGCATTTCCGACACTGGCGGAGGAGAAAAGAGCTGGAAGCGATTCAAAGAGTTGATGGGTTTGGGAGGGGACGAGCTTTTTGACGGTGGAGTTTGCTGACTCCGTCCATCTCAAGGAGTCTTGTGTTTGCAGTGTTGACGGAGCGGGCACGTTTAAGAGAGATTTCAAATGCAGGTATGTGAAAACGCACAGTTGTGAATGCCGTCCTCTGTCTGGTGACTCAAAACCGCACTGTCTCTCTGCCTGACTTGGCTGCATCCTCCATGAGTAATTCGTCCCCACCCTCCTATGCTTCTCTATGACTTTTGATCACCCCAGGATTCTGTCTGCACCCCTGCCACATTGTTTCATCCAGGTCAAAGTTCACGACACTTCTGTGTCATTCCCTCTGTCTACACTTTGCCTTGCCTGGATCCATTATCCAGGCAAGGCAAAGGCATTATTTTTTAT